CCCCAGGCCTCACCTTCCACTTTCTGTTTGGATTATTTGGCGCAAGATGCTGCTTTGTACTTGCTCACAGAGCACGTGCTACCTGGCATAGACGTTACTACCCGTCTAGCTAAAGAGCCCTCGTGTGGTTCTCTTCCTAGGGTGTGGGTGCTGGTTTTGCCTGGCTCTCCCTGAACCTCAGGAAGGGGTCCTCTCTGCTGGCAGGGCTGATCTCCCAGCAGTGAAGGAAGGCAGGCCTCGTGGCTTCCAGGTGTTTCCATCTCAGCTACCCCGCCCAGGCCTCGTGGCTTCCAGGTGTTTCCATTTCAGCTACCCCACCCATCCCTTGCTCCCTAGCTGTCTTCCTAGCCACGGCTCCACTTTCTCTCAGCCCAGAGTGCCCAGAAACTATACCCACCAATGCAGTTACGAGCCAGGAGCAAAGCTGGAAGCTCGAGTCACAGAGCAGCACGGGAGAACTATGCAGAAGAGCCCTGAGAGCAGGATGTGCTGCTCTTTCCTCAGCTGATAGAAGAGACGTGGGCCCAGGGTTTGACTTGCCTGGGCTCACATGGCTAGCTCCTGCCAAAGCCAGGCTTGGGAACGAGCCCAGTGCCTTTTTCTGCAGAGCCTCTCCAAACTCTAGGCCTCACTGGCCTTGACTTCCACCTCTGTCCCAGATGACAGAGGCAGGTTTTGAGGTTTGGAAATGGCGAGCTGTGGGGCCAGTGTAGCTTCTGCAACGGGAGGAGTCTGGTTCGTCCAGCCTCCCTCCCCCCCACGTCCTGCACTTGCGGGGCGTGCGGACTCTGCCTCTCTGAGCAGCTGTCCCCGAGATGCCACTAGTGTGCGTCTTCCGAGAGCCATGTGGAAGCTGGCACCTCGAGAAAGAGGAAGTGTCTGAGTAGAGCCACAGCATTAGGGAGCACCCGGTAGCCAGATCTGCCCTCCTCCCTGGCTCAAACTCAGAACCACCCGCCCTGCTGCAGCGGGAACATGCCAGAGGCTGGATGGGGCCAAGCAGTCAGTGGATTCACTGTTTGCCTGGAAGATGCTAAGATGAGCCTTTTCTACACTCCAGCTCTTCCTTTAATGCATTGTTTTCTTGCATATATTTCCCCCAAAGGTTAAAACAGATTGTAAACACAAGCGTGGCTTTAAAAAAAATAGATGTGTTCTTGATTCTTTCCTAAGAATGGGGTTTGGGGGGGGGGGAGAAGAGTTATCTTTGTAAATCATTTTCCTATGACTTAAAGCATCTTATCTGAAAAGTGGTCCCATGACTGTTAAAAATGTTAAGGAATACAGTGGCCCTTTTTGAATTTTAAGAAGAAACAATAATTGAGTAAATAATTAACAAAATAGACTTCCTTTAAAGATGGTACATGTGGAAGAGGCAAGTCTGGTAACAGCAAATCTAACAGTGCTGGTGTGGGGGGCCTGGGGGGCTCTGTGCTGTGTGGGGTCACGACTTGGGGTCATTCTTTGTTGTGCTCCCGTCTGTACCCACAGGAACTCTGTGTGTTTTCTGTTGGCTCTTCAGGAAGCCTTCCCAAGGGACACTTGATGCACAGTGAACAGAGATTTCACCTTTTTACTTGTGTGGGGCTTTCTGATCTGGTGTGGAGTTTGACTGCTGTCTCCATTAACCCACTGTGATTTGCAGGTGGGGGTGATGGTGGGGGTGGGGCCTGGGCAGCAGGTTTTCTGCACGTGCCTGAGTAACCAGCGACGTCTGAAGGAGGCTCAGAGCCTTACTGCTCCCTTCAGTAGATGGCAGAGCTAAGAAAGTTTTGGATTCAAAAAAGGTGATTGAATTAGAAAAAAAAATCAGCAAACTAATCCCACTGTCACCTAGAATTTAGGGAGATAAGTACACTTTTACATTCCTTGTATTACTATATTAGTTTCTGTGAGTCTTGAATCAACCTAACAGTGTGATAAGCCATAAAAATTCCTTCCACTTTTGGGATAATGCCCCATGGTAGTAAGAACAAATACATTTCAATAGCGACAACACAAATGTCTGGTGGTTGGGAATGTTTGACACCCTAGAGCCCCGTAAGTGTACAGCAGTGCTAATGCACAGGGCTGAAAATGACTGATGGCAAAAGGACACAAAATAGATGAACATGCTAATTGCAACTTTATTTTAAAAAACCAGCAGTGAAATTAAAAGGATGCAAATGGTTTAGTATTTGTGGGTTCTAAATATATCTGTAAAGTTGCCCAAATTCATTTTTAAATTGACACTGATTTCCTTTCATTGCCCACATTGGCCTGGAGACCTGTGCTGAGAAGTCAAGATTTTTGAGCAGCAGCACAAGGCAGTGGCTCCCCGAGCTGCCCAAGGCCCTGCTGAGTCTCACTTGGGGAAATATTAATGCAGATTCCCAGGCCACCTTGAGGAGAGTGCAGCACATTTCACAGAATCTCAGACACCAGCAATTGTAAGACACACCTTTATTTTGTGAGCCATTAAGAAAAATGTGCCAGTTGGAGCTATGAAAATGCTTATCATTTAAACTTTTTATATTTACTGAAAGAGCTCATAGACTTCTTTAGCCAGATTTCCATCACATTGCACTTAATTCATATACACAAAGGGAAACATGGGGGAGATTCCTAAAGATTCACATCGTGAGTCTGATGTTCTGAACCACTTTGACCCAGAGTGGTCCTCGTCCGTGTTTTTCCGAGCGCTGCTGTCCTCCGTGCTGTGGTGGGCGTTGGTGATGTGGTGTTCCTGAAAAGCATGTTCCACTGCCGGCTCCAGAATTTTCTTCTAAGCTGCTGGCGCCTGTTCTGCCACTTTTGATGATGGGCTCTATTGATTTTGCCAGGAGTCGTCAGGCAATGCCATCACAAGTGCCATCTACTGACAGAGATTATGAGACACATGGGACCCAACACCCGTGACAAGGTGGGCCTCTCAGGGTGCATGCAGTAGGTGCATCCTTGGTGCAGGCAGCGCTCTGCCTGGGCATTTCAGTCAGACCCCGTTTGTCGATTATGTCACATTCCAGCTTGAATAAGGCTTCGTGACATCCAGTCAGCTGGAACGGAGATTATTGGGCTACTTTGAAAAAATAAACAGACCTCACCGCCAGAATGAATCCAACACGAGTTTCTAGTCTCAGTAGGGGTGGAAGGGGCTTGGCCTCGCTTCTGCATGTAGTACACAGGCGCTGTACTTACAGTTAACATGGTCTTTGAAAACGGGCATCATGACATAAATATGCCCTTTTCAATAGTTTCAGATTAGATTTCTGATAAGAATGACACGCTTTGCATGATTTTCTAGATTCCCAAATGACAGGTGGCTACAGAAGGAAATAGACTGCCCCATCTGGTCCTGACAGTTGGCATGGGGCGGCGTTTTGGTGAACACCCCGGGGTTGGGAAGGCTGTTGGTACAGATGTGGCCCCAGAGAGGTGGGGAGGGAGCGGTGCTTTGTGCATCCCTCCCAGAGCGACTCCGTGTGTGGGGCTGTCTCCCCAGGGTCTCGGCCACAGGCGTGACGCTCAGCCATCCTGTCCACTTTCTAGGTCACAGCTGATGGCCTGTGTATTTTTTTTTTTTCCTTGAGAGGGTAAGGGCCGGGGCAAGAAGGGGTGAGGGGTAGTTCCTAGAGTTTGACAACTGTGAGCTCTTTTCTTCCCCAGTCTTGACATGGACGTGTCTGTCCCTTGGCAACACTGGCTCCAGGGGAAGGGGCCCTGGGTCAGTCCTGTCTAGAGCCACAGGGAAGGCTGGCTTAGAACAACTTGGCCTTACAGCCCCCAATTCATCTTAGCTGAGGTTCCCAGGGATGAGGAAAATTGGTGACAGAAGATGTAAGCAGCTCCAGAGTCTTTCTGATGTCATTAGGGGTCTGGAAAGATACCCTCAAGCCAGCGGGCTAGAAATGGGTGCTATCCCTGCCAATGCAGGCAGCTGAAATGAATCACCTTTTGTCTGTAATAAAAAGAAGTCCCTGTGATGTGGCAAGGACAGAGCATCTACAGTTTGCACGACAGCCCCGAGTGAAACTCCAGCACAGCTTCCTGCTGGGTAGAAGCGGGCCAGCTTCTTTGACTTTGTGACACACTCAAAGCCCAGCTGCCACAGTCTTCCTTTGTGCTAAATGCCCAACAAAGCTGTATGAGCTACCTTTCCGTAGACTGCCGTGGTGGTTTGTTTGGTGAGGAAAGCTTCCTGCTAGTTAGCACCTTCGTGGGATCAGGACCTGGATTCAGCCCGTGTAGATTATGTTTCTCCAGGTAGGCTGAGTAGTTGGGAAACTGAACACCAGCTAGACCAGCCAGGAGGGAAGAATTCTTACTTTTCGAGAAAAACAAGCCTCCGTAAACTCCTGGACTAAGATATCGGATGCAGGGGTAAGAACCTAGTTGAAACTCTGTACCTGCAGCTCACCTTTCTTGTCCCATAGTAGTGACACGAGAAAGGGAGCACGTCTGCTCATTTCCCACGTCTCCACTGCTGCCAAGAAGCCAAGGTGTAGACCCCTTCCTACCAGAACCAGCCTGGCTTGAGAGTGGTAGGGACTGAGACCTGCATTCTCTGTGTGACTCTGTGCTCCCCTAGGATTTCTCTCCAGCCCTGGCTGGCCCCCACGGGAGGCTGCCTTTGATCTCCCCTGGAGCCTTCCAAAGCATCTTTAGTGCATATCCTGCCTGAAACTTCTTGGGCCTCTTAAAATGCTCTAACCCAGTCGTGAGTTTCACTGGCTGGTGACCCAAACCCTCCTAAATTGCTCCCTGACAGCTGGGTCTCCAGCCCGCCCTGCCCCTCTGTGGTTCTTTCCCGCCCCGCCGTCTGCACAGGGTGTGGCGCTGGTGAGAGCAGGGCTTGGAGCCGGGCCTGCCCGGAGAATCGTTCTGTTGTTTGCGTCTCTGGGAGCCAGCACCCTTAGCAACAGTGGGCCTGGCGTCATCATGGTAAGTCTGTGTAGCTACCACCCTTCAATCAGATCCCAGATGGGAAATCGAGAACAGAAGGTGAGAAAACAGATGCCATGTTCACATGATTATTCTTGTTTATTGAGGTCTGTTTATTCTCCACGGGTGCTTTTGTTCTCCAAGTAAATAGAGCAGGCGTAAATATCTATAATGAATAAATTTATTGTCTTACAAAAATCATTGTCTAGAAATATGGGAATACAAGAAAAGATATTTGCAGTCAGGTGTCTGGTGGTCAACAGCCAGTACAATTCATAAAGGGGGAAAATCAAAGATTCCAAACCCACGTGACAAGTTCTTCCTAATAGATGTTAAAGCTTTTAACCCAAAAGGTTTGTGTTTTCAAGCACATTGCAGAGGATCAAGGATTTAAATTTAACACTGATTCATTGTCACTGAATGTTTGTAATACCACTTTGACTAGAGAGGTACATGATATGAAGCACAAACTTAATACATTAAATTGTTATAGAGGCAAATAATATATTTAACATTGTCTTAGTACTGTAGTGTCTAAGGCACTTTCTGTAATGTCAGTTTGCTCAACTATCAACCAAAAACAGAATGCTAAATGTTCACCGTAACACTGTCCAAAGGGAAGGGAAAAGGAAAAATGAAAGAGGATTCACGCCCACTGGCATGTCAACATTCAGGAAGATGGCATCTGTTCTTGAGGTTCTAGAAACCTCGCTGACAAACTTGGTACAAGCCTCGGACACAAAACCAATGTTCCTATTTTGGGCTCAAAGCAGCGGCTGCATTTGCAAGGTCAGCACGAGAGCCTGGCTGGCGAGGGGGGCCTTCCGCCGACTCCTGCCTGGGGCACAGCTGTTTGCTCCCGAAGTGAGGAGGGCACAGGCAAAGCCCGGTGGGTCCAGAAGTCTACATGACTGACGGCTGCCACCTGGGGCCTCAGATGCATGGTGGCCACACCCTTTCTATGCACAGACCAGCCCTGGCCAAGGACAGTTCACATGAGTAGATGCGGGGACACCACCAACTAGAGGGGCAGAGCCACCCCTTGGGGGATGGGCACGGTAACCCCAAACGGATGTTGCTTCCTCCAATCCAGCCCACCCCTCCTAATCTTTCCAAAGCCCCCTTCACAGTTTGCTTACTGAAATCGTGTTGATTGTTATTCGAAGGAAATGAGAGATACAAGTGCAGTTTAGGTTCCACAATGTTCTAAGAGACTTGACGTGGCTGAGGAGTCAGGGCCACATGAACACAGAACTAAGTACCTGTCTGTATGACAGAGAGCATGCAGAGCGACAGCAACAACCACGCTGCCCCAATAACCCAGCGACTGGCAACGAAGGGTCTGGAGTTTTCTGTTTTAAAAAGGGTTCTTAACATGTATTATAAAATGGTCTCTTGATGAATATATGGAAAATAGATGCAATGATGAAACCATCTGTTTAATATGTGTGTTTTGTGTGTGTATATATATATAAAAAGGGGAGCAAATGTACCTAAATCTGAAGCAGGATACAGTATGCGTAGGCTGGAAAGCCTTAAGACACAGTTGATCTTTCAGGAAGGAATCCCGTAGCTCGCCGACTCGTCACTCTGCAGGAGGCCGCGAGGCAGCTGGCGCGGTGAGTTCCTAAGTGTCCCGCTGTCGTGTTGCCGCCTCTGGCTTCCCAGGCTCTACTCCGACTGGGGTGGCTGCGTCTCGTTGACGTCACTGGTCTTACTTTCCGTGTCATCGTCGGACAGCTCCAGGGACGCCCCCTCAATGTGCAGCTGGCGCCGGCCAGATCTGCTGGAGGAAAAGCTGATGGGGCCGCCGCGCCTGGAGGGAACAGAGAGCAGTGTGTCGTGAGCAGCCGAGCGCGCGGCTGTCCAGTTAGCCAGATGCCCAATGTCACTGAACTTCCGTTTGCGGCCTGTCCTCAGGACGAGTGCCCCTGTGCCGGGTGGGCATGAGGGGCAGGCCTCCTGCCTGCCTCCGCTGCGGTGCCCGCGGCAGAGAGCACGCCCCGGGGAGCTGGGCACGGCCTGACTCGACCTGAGACCACCCGTGGGAGAAACGGGGAGAACGACGGAGTGAGGCCAAGCTCCGCCGCTAACCCAAGGGTCACCAGCCTCCTTCTGTAACAGGCCTGACACCAAATTATTTAGGATTTATGGGCTACATGGGGACTCTGTTGCATTTTCTTTGTTTTTGTGTTTTCCACAACCCTTTAAAAATGCAAAAAGCAGTTTTAGCTTGCTGGCTGTAGCAAATGTGCCCACTGGCCACGGTTTGCTGATGCCTTGCCAGCGCTGTGGTGGGGCAGAGTTCAGCGTGGCTGTCTGGTCCTGCCCTCCCGCCGGGGCAGGCAGGTGCAGCGAGGGAGGAGGGTGCTGGGGGCTGACGGCACCGTTCCTGCCAGGCGCCCCTGCCCTGCTCTGTGAGGGAGGCCGGGATCTCTCCTCACGCTGACGTCTGGACACGGATGGACACCTGACCTAGCCTCGCACTGGGCACTGGCGTGGTCCCTAGTGACCAGCAGGGAAAATGGCCTGGTCCCCTTTTATTCTCCCCAAGGACTACCAGAAAGGTCAGAAATCTCGACCGAAGTGATTTAAGAGAGAGAATGGGAACTTCCTCGGACCGGCCACACGCTAGCCCCAGGCTAGGCCCCAACGCGCCGTCTGAAAGCCCCGCTGCCCCCGCGCTCACCTGAGCCGGTTCTTCAGAGTGCTGACCTCGCGGCTCAGGCCCTCGTTGGCCTCGGTGGCGTCATCCAGCTCCCGCTGCAGCTTGCGCCGGGAGGCGTTGGCACGTGTAGCTTCTTCTTCCGCCTCCTCCAGCTGCCGCTTCAGCTGCTTCATCCGGGCGTTGGCCTTCTCCATCTTGGGGAAGTTACAGGAACCAAGATAAACTCAACTGTGATCCCCACGTCAGCCTCTGTACCCCGAGTGTGTCAGCACAGCTCTGTGCTGCCACCCTTGTGAGCGCGCACGCGCACCCACCCACGCACGCACGGAGTGGGGCCAGCCGAAGGCTTTTCACCTGGCCGCCACTCTCAGCGACGCCGGTATCTACACAGGAAACTATGCTAAGGGAAATTTTTAAAAACTTAAAAACCCTGTTTTTAACCTGCGAGTTTTCTGCAGAAAAATGACATAATTTAATCCCTTTACACATGTAACGTGCGGACGGTGATGGGAACTGGTGTTCTTGCAAAATGCAGAGGAGCCAACAATTCAGGACAAGCCTCACCCCAGGAGATGGTGCACTGAATTTTTACGTCTCCCTGCGGCGTGGACATTTCAGACGTTATGCTGGGACTCAAGTGCAAGGCCACCCTGGGGAGACCTGGCCTGAGGACGAAGACGCTCTCCACTGGGTGCCGCACTGCTGAGCCCCGCGGGCCTGGCCACCCGCCCACACTGCCCTGGGTGCTGCCAGGCCTCGAGGGCGGGCACGGGGAGGGAGGGCCGGGCTGCTTGACCGGAGCAGGGGAGGGTTTGGGCCAAGCCAGCGAAACCCTGTCACCACAGCAGAGAGGGGCGCAAGAGCGAGCTCCCCGCACTGCAGACCTGACTACGGCACAAAGTCCTGTGACATGTTCCCTCGTGCCTAGGAAATTCTGTCTGGATGCGGGCGAGGAAGGCCAGCTAGGCAGCGTGCACACAGGGTGTTCGGTTTCACAAACATGCTTTCTACTGGGCATCTCCCGTGTCCACCCCTCCACCCGGCCAAGGTTTCACGACTGCCAACTATGTCCAGGAGTCGTTCTAGGCATTGGGGAGATAACGGCAAAATAGGCAGAAGTTTCTGCACTCATGGAGTGCACTTTGTAGTGGAGAAAACCCGTAACTTTAAAACTCGGTTCAAGCCTCACACTTCAGCGCCTTCTGCCTTGTTGCCGCCACCCTCCTGTGTGTCTTGTGCACTGGGTGTCCCTTGGGAACACGGGACAGCACGTTATTAACAGTTGAAACATTAGAACTAAGAGTTTCGAACAGCATTTTCGTAATCGTGCCGGTCAATTCGTGCCGCCGGGCCCACTTCCCAGCAGCGCCCTGGCGGGAGTGCATCCTGCCGAGCTTGCCTGCCCCGCCCCGCCCCGCCACGCACCTGTTCTTTATACTGATCCGCGTGCCGACGCTCGTCTTCCACCTGCATGAAGATTTCTTTCAGCTTCTTCTCGGTCCGGCGGACTAGTTTGTTGGCGGCTGCTCGTTCCCTATGAAAGTGAATAGTTTTGGGAAAAAATATTTTTTAAAGTCCTTTTTCTTTGAAAGACGGAACCACTGTGGAATGTCACCCTGGGCCTCTCTGCAAAGAATGACATGATTCTGAAACTTTCCTTCTAGTCGAAATAGGAATTCCCTTAACATATCCCTCAATACTGACAGAAAAAGTGCATTAGTCTTGCACACGCAGGTACTGTTCTTTTTATGCAGTGGTCTGAGAGCAATGCTACATACAAGCTAGGCAGGTATACTGAGCACAGACTTTCTGAACACGAAAACTTCAGTTGCTTACTCTAATCACCTAACCTTTTACCTGGAAAACAAACAAAACCCTAATTTATTAAGTGATTGGTTCACTTTAGAATTTACTACCTACCATGGTGCTAGAGGTTTTGGCAGCTAACATTGGGGAAAACAAAACCCCATAAACAAAACACAAACCTCACACACTCACTCTTTGGTTAAAAGTCAAACAAATCCATGTTCCTAGATAGGTCTACATTGTTCCACACGAAGGAGAGGTAACTTATTTAGACAACTCCACGGAAGACAGAAAAAGTTCTTTTGTTCCGTAACAAATGTATGAAAAATTGACAGGGATGGAGTCAGCTGAAAGGGTGATTTATGTTAATTCTAACTAAAAACAAACAAACCTGTGATGGTTGTTTTTTAGTCTCGTGGAGTCAAGAGTGGGTGGGAGTGCTGGGATGCTGGGCTGGGAGGATGTGGGGTTCTGAGCAGAGCCCTGCATTTCTGTGCTCTGAGCTCCCCAACAAGAGGGTGAATTTGAAGGTCTGCTCTAGTGTTGGCAGCCTGTGATCTAACAGCTTTGTAAATGTCTGCCAAAAGCTGTATTGTGCAATTCCTCATACATTTCAGAAGGCTTTACTATGACAGAAGGGGAAACTGTTAAGCAATCCATTCTTGTGGGAGAAGCAAGCTATTATTTTTGTCATGTTGCATTTTTTGTCTGCTGACAAATTATAACATTCGCAGGACGCCACAAACTTGGGAAATCGACTTTGGGTAGAGATGTAAACTTACGGTGCCCAGGAGATCACAGGGCACAGTGTGATGGCCCTCAGCTGATTCCAGGAGCAGCTGACAGGCAAAGTCCAGCCTTCCCTGACAGCGTGCAGCGGCTGCCTGTCCTTCCAACCTCAGAATGCTTGCAGCACTTCTCTTACGGCCCACACCACCTTCTGTCTCCCACTCTGGTCGTCTGTTCTTGCTGTCTCTTCCCAGCCGCCCCCCAAGGGCACAGGGTGTGTGTTTTGTCCTCTGACACACAGACCGAGCCTGGCCTGGAGCAGATAAGCAGTGGGTTTTGGTTTACAACAGCAAAAACCTCTTACTTGGCTTCCTGCTCAAGCTGCTCCTCCAGCTGCCCAATCTTGGCTTCCAGGGCTGAGATGGTGGCCTTGAACTTGGACTTGACAGCACCCTCTAGTTCCTGCAGCTTGGCCTTCAGCTCCTTGTTCTGCCGCTCCAGTTGCTGGCGCGCATTGTCACTCTTCTGGGCAGCACTGCGCTCAGCTGCTAGCTCTGCATTCAGCGTGTCCACCTGGAGAGGAGACAGGTTTAGTCGCTCATGCCAGGGGGCAGCACAGCCCTTCCCAGGTGACGGCTGCTGCAGGGGCCACCTGTAGCGTGGTCTTGCGGAAGCGGTCGTTGAGCAGCTCCATGTTGCTCTGCTCCTCTTCAAGCTCCTCCTCCAGCTGCGCGATCCGCGCCTCCAGACGCCGCTTCTCGTCCAGCAGTGCCGACCTGGTGGGGTGAGGAGGTGGCGACAGCTCGATACCAGCTGAACACAGCACAGGGAGACTCAGGGAGGCCCCGCCACCCACCCTGCTGCTAGGAACCTGGGCATCCTTCTGGATGTCTCGCTTTCCCCTGCACCGCGTCCGAGTCTATCCACAGGTCCCACTGATGACACCTCCAACCCCCCTCCCCTCGTCTGCACTCGGGGCAGGAGGCCCATCATCTCTGCCTTCCAGCTGGCCTCCCTCTGCTGCCTCTGTCCCTCTCTGTCCTCCAGACAGCAGCCAGGGCCAAGTTTCAAAATGCAAGCAAGATCTGGCATTCTCTCGCTTAAACTCTGTAATGGTTTTCTAGTGCACTGAGGATAAAATTCCAGCGTCACAGGGCATGCTCAAAAAGGCACACGATGAACTCTCAGTCCAGGAATTAAGTGAAGAAATCCACTTAATTGGAATCAAAGATAATGACTTTTAATGAAAATGAATTGACAGAGAGGTCATGTCTAAGGAATCTAACGAACGTGAGAGAGAAGGCCTGGGGAGCAGTCAGCACGGTCCCCGCAGCACCATGGCGTGCGCAAGGCTGGCAGGAGGACTGGCCCAGGGGTCTGACTGCCAGGGGCTGAGCCGCCCCAGCGCGGCGTCTTTCCAGCCCCTGCATGGGTGAGCAAGCCAGCTACCGACTCCTACGTGCCAGAAGACACCCCTAGCCTTCCTAGCGAGGGCGAAGAACTGCAGCGGCCCAAGAGGACAGGGCCAAGCTGCCCTTCCCGCCCGCCACCAGGAGACTCACTTGCCAGAAGCGCTGTTGGCGATCTCATCGGCCAGCTCGTCCCTCTCCTGCTCGGCGTGTCGGCGCGCCCGCTCCGAGGAGGCAAGTTCCTAAACAGTTGAGACTGTGCGTTAAGCTCTGGTCATGACCAGTCTCTGCACGGGGGACTCTGGCAGTGCCTGGAGTGGCAGTGACCTTGCTCCAGTCATTGTTCACATGCATGTCAAGCTGTCACTTAGATGTGAGAAACGAAGCCGGCAAGCTTGCTGGAGAAAATCTGTGTGGGTGGTGCCAGCCGGGTGATGCGTGGCGCCAGTATCCTAAAACAGAAATGTCCACAGAGGACAGCCCTATCTATGCAAGGGCTTTGCTGTCACTTCCAACGTAAGAGGTGGCTGTATTCCTGCCCTTCGTGCAAGCTGGTGTTTCTTAACACAAACTGAGCACAAACCCCAAGCCCTAAAGAAGCATGAGCTACACCAGCTTGCGATCCTGAAGTATCGTTCGCATATAGTCTGGAGATCAAGTACGCAAGCTGGACAGATCAGTGAGTATCAAGGCAGCTGCGCAGCGTAACAAGCGTCACAGCTCCTGCGGGAGGAGGTGGCAGGGCTTGACCGCAGAGGCTCAGGTGTTTTGGGAGCTGGGGCTCTGCAGTGAGCAGGGCCTCTTTCTCAAAGAGGATGGGGCCATGGCCAGTTAGGCCACTACAGCTCCACAGGACAGGGCAGGGTGATGGGGACAGCCCTGTGCCTGATGGCTGCTTGTTCACCAATTTCCTTGGAAAGATGACTGCCACAGAAAGGAGTCAAGGGTGCATTTATTTTATCAATGAGGGAACTGGGGCCGACATGGATGGAGAGACTGGCCCAAAGTCCCGAGGTTGGTTAGCAGCAGCAAGTCAGAGTTCCAACTCCTTGTCCAGCAAGGGTTCTTCCCACCAGGTGCCCCTTCTACAGGATGCTGCATTTGGCAAGAGCACATCCTGAAGATGTCTGAGGAGCAGGACTGCGCAGGAGGTCGTCTGACTGCTCTGGCACGTGCACCTGCCTCTCATGTTAGTGCATAGGATGTAGGGCCTCCAAAAAGGCCCAGTTCTAGCACAGGGTCCTCGCATATGAGGCAGGTGGGAGTCAGGAGGGAAGAAGGGGCAGCTGTCTAGGATACAAGGGCAGAGGCAGAATGCGGCGGGCCTTACTGCAGGGCTGCTGAGGGCAGATAGTGCTGCCTTCTGGCCTCTGCTGTTCAGTCCTCTTTGGCCCTCATTGTGCCCCTGTCCTCTGGCTCTGTGTGCTTTCAGAAAAACAGAGCTCTGGGTGCAAGGAGTGCTGCTCGGACACCCAGGTGATGGCCCAGGAACTCCCTAGGAGGCTGGCACCAAGAGCCCTGTCACCTTTGGGGAAATGAGCATTTGGGGTATCACTGATCAACCCCATGATGGATACACAGAGCCTAAACATTCTACTTTGTTGATGAATACGTGTTCTTTTTAAGCACACACGGAACATTTATAAAAACTGATCATGTTCTAGGCCCTACGGCTGTTCTCATTCTCCCTGATCACAATGTGATAAAACTAGCAATCAACTAAAAAAAAAAAGCCATACATTTAGAAACTTAAACCATACTTATAAATGATTCATGGGTAGAAAAGAAACCATAATAGTAATCAGATAAATCAGAATTAAATGGCAATGAAATCACACCCTGTCAAAGTTTGTGGGATACAGTGAAAACAGAACTTAGAGGGGAATTTAGTCTTTTATAAACGTGTTAGACAAGAGGCGTGAAAACTGATGAGCTAAGGTGTCCAACCCAACAAGTCAGAAAAAGAAAAAAAAATCCAAAGAAATAAAGGCAAGAGCAAGAAACAATAGAACAGCAAACCAAGAGTGATCAAACCCAAAGCCGGCTCTGGGGGAATCTCAGTGTCTGCGGGTCTGGGTTTCAGTGCTTTCTCTGTTTCCGACACCCAGGGAGCTCCATTTCTTTCCTGCAAGCTCACCTCTCACTGGTACTATTTTATCCAACATCTCTAGGTGTTTGTATTGGAGAGTTTTTTCATATTAACTGATATCAACGTTTCACCTAAGCTAATACTTTTCCAGGTTTGAATACATTCTGATCATCCTTCATCTATACAGAAATGTATATACTCAAGTGTGCCTTGCACTGATATAATTCCATACTATATGCAACACTTCAGAAGTCCTTTCCCCATGAGAACTTACACAATAAATAAATGAAAGAATAGGAATTTAATGAAACAAATTGCTCTCCTTTTAAGTATCTCATGAATGGTGCTTCTGTGCAAAACAAGGCAATGTTGTATCACCAAGGTTAGAGTTAAATGAATCTAAAACTTACCAACACCAAATAAATAGTGTCACTCCCTTTTCTCATACAGGGCACCAAGCCTAGAAGGTGGCTTGAAAAGTTACAAATCCACTCCTTTGCCTTTAGCCAGGTAGAGGAATATACAAAGTGAGATCACTTTCTATTTGCTGAACTGAAGCAACAAGATGGTTCAGGATCAGATTAAAAAGGGATGCTGACTAAAAAGAAAAAAACCCATAAAAACTGCACTAGGCTGCAAAGATATTAAGACATATTTATCTGATCTTGGAGAAATTTTAAGGGTAAACAGTTGTTGAACAAATGCATGAATAAGTATTAACAAACAAACCTCCTGCAATTGAAGGATTTCTGCTTCCAGACTTTTCAATTTCTTTTCACTCTCTTTGGATTGTGCAAAAATCTCATCTCGGGATGCACGAGCTTCTTCTAATTCACGTTGGTAATCCTTCATCTGAGCCTAAGGTTAAATAAGAAGGATTTAGTGTCGTTTACACTCTTAGTTTTTAAACCTATGATACTTTTCCCAGATTATAAAAGTAAGATACATACGGAAGTGATATCGCAAGAAAACTATAGACCAATATCCCTTATAAATACAGATGCAAAAATCTTTAAAACAGAATAAATTCTCAAGATGTGGAATCACCAAGGTCAAAAGAAGGGACATTTTCTAAAGTTTTTGTCACAATTGACAAATTCCACCCAGAAGTGCCTATTTGTGTCTCCATCAGCGGTACACGTGGGGGCCCATTCCACGCACCCACACCGTGAACTATTACAGAGATCACTTTTTGATTGTGGTAGTGAAAACTGGCATGTCATCGGGGTAGCAAGACAGACTGAAAAGATCACTAATGCTCACGGCACTAATGGAGGAAAGGCATAGAACCTTCCTTTCCAGGTGAGGCAGGTGGGTGTTGAGTCAGGCATTGCCAGGGGCCGTTCAGGCCCATAGGAGTGTGTTCCAGCAAGGATGATCCATGTGGTGACTCCACCCAGCTCTGTCTCACTAAGTGGGCTCAAGCATATCCTGCAGACACAGCAGATGCACACACACGTGCCATCTTCACAGCCTGCCACCCCAACCCACAGCCACGGGTGACCGCTGTATTGTGTGCCCTGGAGTGGCACTGGGTCAGCAGGGAGCTTGGTGGCAAGTGACAGGTTAGACGCTGCGCGGCACTTTCCTGCCCAGCTCCGCAGTTTGACTCTGTGTAAGAGCCTCCCGGGTCCCTAGTGCTGGATCTCAACAGGGCCCCATGACGCTGCCCAGGGGCTTTGGTGGCTGCAGGTACCTGGAGTTTGCGAAGCTGCTTGATCACTTCATCCCTAGCTTTGTTTGCAGCCTCGATTTGAGCTTCGAGATCTTTCAGGTCTATTTCCATCTTCTTCTTGGAAGCCACAGCAAGCGCCCGCTGCTTCCGCTCGTCCTCCAGCTCTGCCTCCAGCTCTCGCACCTAGTGGGTGGCACAGGGTTACGCCTGGTCACATGCAAGTGTCCGCTCGCAGAGAACAGGTGCCTGTCACCGTCTGAGGGCTCTCGAGGTGCTCTAGTTACCGAGCAGTTATTATTAACAGAAAAGCACCGTAGCTGAATTTTGCTCAAAAGGATATTTAAAGAAGACCTCGTACGAGCCATGCCCACTGACTGCTCCGAGGGCACGTAGGAAGGCAGAGTCTCGACTCGGGCTCACAGTCTAGGTGACGCAAAGACAGAAAGACCTGAGACAGCGAGGTAACAACTTGATAGATTAAGGGCTGGGACAGATGCAGAGGGGGCGTGGAGCCCTGGGGAGAGCCCAGAGGACAGAGTGGGCACGAATTCCTAGAGCCGTGAGGCGGGGCGGCTCGCCAGGTTGCAGGGCTTCCAGGCAGAAACCGCCTTCCGCTGAGCGGGAGAGGCAGCGGAAGACGGACAACATGGAGGCCGGCTTTAGAGTAGACATGGAGGGTGAGGACAAAGAAAATGAGACAAACGTGGGCTGGAGACTGGGGCAGACACACCCTGGCTGTCACTCCCTGGCTCTGGGACTGTCGTCCTAGTGTAGCACAGGGATGGGGCACTACTGCTGTTCACACCACTGGGTGGGGCCGCTGAGGAAAAGGTGCTCTCGTCTTCGAAACCGAATCCCGGTGCCTCAGTCACCAGTGAGGAGGTCTGGACACAAAGCTGTGCAGCTCTGACTTTGCCAGCAAAGCAGCTCACCAGTCTGTCCACACCTGACAAGGCCTTCCCACCTGTCGTGCTTCGCCCATTGACTTGGGAAGTATTTATGGAGGGCGGCCGTGCCCTGGGCAGCGCGCTAGCACTGGGGCTCCCAGACGAGCAAGGAGAGCTCCCTACCCCCCAGGTGCTGCCCTCCCCATGAACAGAACAGCACTGCCCCCCCCAAGGGAAGTATTCTGGGGTGATGCAAGGAAGCGAAGAGGCCTGGGGTGAGGGGTGACTCAACCGGTCCTCTCCATAGGGGTAAAGCAAGACCTGTGTTGCTTGTGCTTTTGCAAGGGGGTCCGGTGGGGGCATGAGCTGCTGCCCTGCTCGTGACGTGGGAGCAGGGCAGCTGCTCCCACGTCACGCAGAGCTGCCCATCGTCCCCTTGCTCCTTCCTGCAGAGTCTGGGCTCTGACCTCAAGGATAACAAGAGGCTACTTATGTATACCCACTTACATGACATTTGTAAAAGTGGTGGTTTTAAAATATGTCTCCAAATTCTTTGATACTCCACCACTGAGAGTGAGCGCCTCTCCAATGTGGCTGGACTTGGTGACTCACTTCCAGTGAACAGAATAAAAAGAAAGTGACCGTGTATGACTTGGGAGACTAGGTCATAAAAGGCCTGGAAGCTTCCTCCTCTCACTCTTGGGGAAGTCACCTCCAGGACACCCAAGCAGCCTTTTCAGAAGCCCATGGGGCGAGGTGCCGAGGCCTCCTGCTGACACCCGACTGAGGTCCCGCCTGCTCCAGAACCAATTCCTGGCCCACAGAAACCGTGACATATGATTGTTTTAAGCTACTAAGTTTGGGGTAATTTGTTATCCAGCAATGAATGACCAATTGAATAAATATTTGTGGAATGAAAATAACAAAATAAAGCAAAATTAAATATACTCCAAATCCAGGACTTATTATCATGAACTCCAAGGGACTGTCAAAATATCCAGTTTTTAAAGTAAAGTTTTAGGTTAGAAGTTTAACATACATTTAGAAAAGTATTTACTATACATTCAGAAAAGCATACAAATCACACATGGCTAGCAACTTTTTAAAATAAAAAAATTTAAGTATCTGCTTTTATTCTTTTGGAGAGTGATTTAATCAGGATTCAGAACTACAGATATCTGCTGAGTCAGCTTGCCTGGTAAGCACTGAGTCTTTCCTTGCCACGTTCTGGGACAGAACATGAACCTAACCAGGTACTCCCTTGAGATTCCTGACGGCTTTTCGATTGGTAAGTGCCCAGGCTTGTAAGCAGCAATGATACTGTCTGAGAAGTAGAGAATCCAAACCCACTATAATAAAATTTAAAGAATAGAATTCTGAAATGATCAAATAAATTACTTTTACTCCAGCTAGTGTGTTCTAACATGATGAATTAGACGTTGACCCAGAACTGGGCTCAGAACCTGCAAACCCTGTTCCGGAGGCCACGCTTCCCTCGACCCACCTGTTTAATCAGCAGCCGCTTCTTCTCTTCATTCTGCTCGTCCCTCATTTGCAGGTCCCTCTCAAACTGGGCCTTCATGGCCTGCATGTTCACTTCCAGCCGCAGCTTGGCATCTTCCGTCGCCTGCAGCTCGTCTTCCAGCTCCTCCAGCTGGGTCCTCATTTCCTCCACTTGCTGCTCTAGGGCCCGTTTGGACTTCTCGAGTTCATGAACCTAAACCACCGGAAGCATCAGGAAAGAGTTGACCCTTGGCAGAGGCACAAGTTAAGGACAGCAGTCTTCCTATTTTATAGGCCCCCTCACGGCACGCTGGCCACTGGAGCCACCTGGGCCAGCCTCGTGTACACACACACACACACACACACACACACACACACACACACACACACACACACATCAAGGCTGCTGCTGGTCCTCATTTCAGAGTATGCAACTTACAACTGCAGCTCTGATTACTCATACATGTTCTCTAATCATCATCCTCTGACGACCTCTAAGCCTAAGAACAATGTCAGGGGAAACTATCTGTCCCCTGCCTGCTGTCTGTGTGGAACAGGCACGACAGACACCTCTTCTTGCTGTAGAAAAGATCATTCGTATTGAAAATGCACATGTGGAAACTTTTGAATACTAGTGTGGGCTGAAGCTGAGAAGCAGGTAAACTAAAAGGAGGATTCTCTTCCTCTGGACAAACACTGACCTAGCTCTCTGTCCCGAACACTGTGTCGGGTGCTCCTATATCCTGTCCCATCTGACCCTCACGACAGCCTCTGGAGGTGCACTAGGTGCTGCTGGGCATGACCGTGTCAGTTCTCACAGGGCAGGAGAAGACTGACGACAGGAGGAGGGCCATTTCTAAGCAGTGTCTGGTCCTTGGTAGACACAAAAGATATGTTTATGGGATGAGCACATGAGTGTTGATTCTCGGGAAAACTAATACGGATCAGGTCATAAGGAATTGGAGGCAACCGCAGAGTTCTCTCCACCTTTACTCAGTAATCATGGTCATTTCCATGTTCAGTGGCCTCTTCTTATCCACAGGGCTGGTCCCTGAGCACCCAGTTGAGGAGACCGAGCAAGAAGGTGGCAGTCTTCCCTCACTTACGATGTGGCTGGATGGCATGTCCCATGAAAATGAGACCTTACCTTTATAGAGGACCTTATACTGCTCAGAGCAGGTGCAGTAGCTTCCTGAAATTGGGAAAGTATAATATCCATCTGACAGATAAGGAAACTTAGGGTTAAAAAGTTTAAGTAGCTTCCCATGGTCAGAATGGGAGCTGCTGGAAGAGCCAGGCCCACAACCTCATCTCTGGATGCCAGGCCTGTCCGGTTTGCCATCCTCAACACATCATATGCTAAGGGAGGGACGTTAGGTAAATAAAAATCACTGCAGCTCCTGGGGAAGATATGTGCGATGGAAAGAGAAAAGTGCCCCAGAAACTCGAAACTGTGAGTAAGCCCCCTAGACAACTGAAGCCTTCACAGGAAACAATGGGGCCTCACTGGGAAGACCCAGGCTAGAGACAGCTGCGGTCCCACCTCCTCCGCTCCGGGTCCCTATTCTGCGCTGGAGACAGAGGGGATCTGGTGAACTACTTGTGACTGCAGAACAATGAAACCCTTTTGCTGAAAGACCCCCTACCAGGATGCAGGTTGGAACACTGTCACCACTTGCCAGTGCTGCTGCCAGAACTCCAAGTCTGTGACAGAGAAGAGACTGCAGAAAAGCTGACAGCTGGGCCCAGACACTCCTAGACTGCTTTGCAGTGGGCTGTGCATTCCCAGGTCCTTCGCCTGCTCCCTTTTCGAAGGCCCCAAGCAAGCCCCAGGGTTACTGATCTGTACCTAAACGTGGGGCCTACTGGCCACTTACGTTCTTCCCCACGTCATCTTTGGAGCTCATCAGGTCTTCCATGTCTGCTCGGAGCTGCTTGTTCTGCCTCTCAAACTCCTCCTTGGCCTCCAGGGCTTCTTCGAGGGCCCGGGACAGGGACAGGGCTTTGGTTTCTTTCTCTCTGGCCTCTGCTTCAGCGCGGTCCCGCTCTTCCGCATAGCGAGCAGAGATGTTCTTCTCTTCTGCTAACAGCTACGCAGAACGGCACATGGAGTATTAGCAACAGTCAGAACAGCAGTGTAAACTCTTCTTATCGCTAAGAATGCTACTACTATATCATGAGTGTTTTCCTATTTCCTTTTTTTTGCTTTTCTTTTCCCAATTTTGATATAAACATGTACTTTTTTTTTTTTTTAAAGAGATGAGGTCTTGCTCTGTTGCCTAGGCTGGAGTGTAGTGGTATAATCATAGCTCACTATAACCCCAAACTCCTGGGGGGCTCATGTGATCCTTCTGCCTCAGCCTCCCAAGTAGCTGGGACTATAGGCACATGCCATGACTGGCTCATTTAAAAAAATTTTTTTTTTTATTTCAGCATATTATGGGGGTACAGGTTTTAAGGTTTCAATAAATGCCCTTTCCCCACCTCATTTTTAAATTTTTTTGTAGAGGGTCTCACTATGTTGCCCAGGCTTGTCTTGAACTCCTAGCCTCAAGTGATCCTCCACCTCGACCTCCCAGAGTGCTGGGATTATAGGCATGAGCTACCACACACCTGGCCTGTATCACTTTTAGTTGTCTTTAAATAAGAAAAGATGATTTAAAACAACAACAAAACCGAGAGCTCTGCCAGGAGGAAATGACGTGTGGCACAGGCCTGCATGTGGGAGACAGGACCCAGATGCCCCACCTGATCGAACTTCTTCTGCTTCTTCTCCAAGTTGGAGACGATCTGTCGCTGGTGGTCCAGATCCACCGTCAGGTCGTCGAGCTCCTGCTGCAGGCGGTTCTTGGTCTTCTCCAGCTTGTCGTAAGCCAGCGCCTTCTCCTCTAGGCGCTGGCTCAACGCCTCCACGTCTTTGAGGAGCTTCTTCTTGGCTTCTTCCAAACTTTCAATTGTGCCTAAGTCATCATCTACTTTCTTCTTGGTATCGGCCAACTAGGTTTTGTGCAAGGAAAAACAAAAAGATCAACATTAAAGAACTCAGTTGGTTTTTGCATTTGAAGAAGAAAAAAATTTTGTTTTCAATATTTTATGATAAGAAAAAAATACTGTACGTCAATACTATACGATTTTAAAACGAATCTATAGACTAACTTAATTTCTTAGCTAATAGTGTGTAAGATGATGACTGATTGAAACCATACATGGTTGACACAGTCCTATGTCTTTATTCTAAAGGCTTCCAACATTAGAACCAGCATTTGGTTGGGTCAAAGAAAAAAACACTGAACAGGCTTAATTTAGTACAACCTAATTAACTGTCCCAAATGGAGTTGAAACAGCCCAGCGTAGCAGGGATATTAGCTGCTAAATACACACATCTAGGCCACCACAGCCTCCTAAGGGGGGCACACGCACCTGGGACTGCAGGGCCAGCACTTGCTTTTCCAGGTTCTTCCTGGCCTCCTCCTCCTCCTCCTGCTGCTCCTGCAGGCTGTTCTTCTCCTCTTCCAGCTGCCGGATCCGGCTGCTCAGGTTCAGCTTTTGGCGTGTCTCCTCCTGAAGAAGCTCCTGTTTATTTTTTTCAAAAGGTCAATACTTAAGTTACGTTTATCATCAAAACAAAAACACCTCTATTAAAAAATTCATTTATACAAAAGAGAGAGCCTCAGTGTATGAGAAATACCCAGTGTCACTTATAAACACAGATGACTTCAAAACACACGTGGCAACTTTGTCAAAGCTCTTAACACAAACACTGCCTCAAGCTTGGCCTGGACTAATGGCAGCAGCGTCCCCCAGGGGCCCAGGCCGTGGCCTCCCTGCCCGTGTCCCCACATCCCTGTGTCTCCCCAGGCACTTCTGGAATCCCTTCCTCTCTACCCCACTTCTCACCAGGATCACCTACCATCTCGGGCACTTGATTATTTGCCCTTATACTTTCTGTTAGATTAACTTTTCTACAATGTAAGTGCGAACATGTCTTTCCTGTTACTTTCAGACTTGAGAATCTCAAAGGCACGTGCTGATGCAGTTCTGTGGTCTGGCCTTGCCTCCTGTAGTCTTACTGACCAGAATGTTCCTTGTCACAGCAAGTGGCCCAGTTATACTGAACTTGCCCCAACTACCTAGTTATTCCACTTTCTGCTAGTCTGAGAATTTCACCCCATATCCTCAGCACCTAGCCCAGAACCAGGCAAATAAACTCATAAATGCTTGTAAATTTTTAATAAAAGCAAGATGCAAAACTCCAAGAAAAGAGTGCCACGTTATTGTCAACTAACTTGTAACTGACTTGAAAACATCTAAAACAGATGATTCAATTATATACATGTTAACAGTATGATGAGCAAGCTTCCACCTACCCTTTATGTCTTAGGAATGGAATTTATGTCTAAGGTCAGCATGAAATTTCGACCATAATAAAACAATCTTATTAAAATGGCCAGGAAGACATTGTGCACAATAGGATCACTGCCTGGGTAAACTGCAGCCCAGGCAGCATGATAAGAGGTGAGATAGAAGATAATTCTGGGACTAGCATATTTTACCAACTTATACACTGCAGAAACGTTAGTTACTATAAAGACCCTGCTCCCCGTGGAATACCTGTGTATCCTGTAGTTGAGACTCAAGACTAGCTGCATCCTTTGCAAATTTAATACCCTTCTTCTCTGCTTCTTCCAGTAGGGTTGAGACATTATCCAACTCATTCTGCAAGGAGTAAAAGATTAAATTCAACTCAACAGTAAGCAAACAGAAGGGTTCAGAACCACAGCTCTTACACAGAACACAAACAGAGCAGAGTTTGGGGTTGAGGGGAGTGAACCTAAACTGCCAAACTGAGTTAAGGAAGACTTTCACCACCTCGAATCTACCGCCTCCAAACAGTGCTCAAATGCGTAGGCACGAATACCTGCCTACCGCCAAAGATACCTAAAGCAGTGCCCGCCCACTGCAGAAATAGGGAGAGGAGGAGGACAAAGCCCCCCTCTCTAGGGGAACGTGTGGCTGGGGGCGGGGGGCGTCTCCTAACTATGGATTACTATCTTGTTTTATTTTTATCACGAAGAGATGAAAATTACACTGATCCTTTGAAAGAGTGATTGCTATTCTATGTGAAGAGGCTGTAAGACCAGCAGGACTTTGATCCTTTTTCACATTAAGGTGCATTAACCATGTGCTTTAGGGGACAAGTATAATTCATACTCTTATAGAACTTGAAAACTTCATTAAAGAGATTCAAAGAAGTTTCAATTCTGGTATTCGGTCAGAAGCTCGTTAAACTTTTAAAAATCCGGTATTCTAAATTCATCATGAATATTTAAGTTATTTCTTATGATCAGATTTCATGAATAATGTGGTGATATTTTTCTTCTTTTTCCTCCTTAGTTAATGATAGCTCTAAAATATTTTCCAAAAACATCTTCATGGTATAAGATATTTTATAAATTTTTGTGAGGACAGCAGCTATTATTACAGAAGCCGAAGGACTCAGAAGGGACAGCAGGACACCCCTGGTTCTCATTTGTCCTACAGGCATAGTAGCCAAGGGAACGACACATGTCGCACAGCTAATGATGTTTCTATTTTCACTCTTTTTAGCAACATCCTTCAGAAAGCTCACACTTCTTCAGTTTGGGGAACAGAGTGGTGGGGAAGGGCTTTGGAGTCAAGAGCGACCCCCTGCCTTCAACTCCGGCTCTCTGAGTTGCCAGGTAAGTCACCAGAGGAGGCAAATTCCTTAGCTTCTTTGAGCCTCAGCTTCCTCACCTGTTGGATGGGGATGATGGAGGATTAAACGGGGAACAACATGTGCAGGAGCCTAGCACACGCCTGGTGCAGCACAGGGACCCAGTAAATGTCACTCACCTCATCTCCCCCCGTACGCAGACTTCACAATGCTATTTCTGAGATCGTCCCTTTTAGGAACATCTTCCCAGATATGTGAGAGCACGCACACACAGAATATTTCAGTACACACGTGTTAACCGAGCAGGCCTGAGACTGCTCTCCTTAGAAAGGCTGGCTTGCAATGCTGCCCTTTGGCTGGCGCCTGGGAACTTAGATTTTGGGAGGGCTCCCACCATTCCCTAAGCAAAAAGAGGGGCTCACGGTGCCTCAATTACTTGTGCAAACACTGGTTTATGCTGAACACCTGCTTTCCTTCTGGGAGTCTGGAGTTTTGGTGTGCGCCAGGCAGGGAGTGCCTACATGGCCATTCCCAGCACAGACCCTGGGCACTGGGTCTCTAAGGAGCTTCCTGGGAGACAGCATTTTATATGACAGGTGCTGTCATGTCTTGTTGCTAGAGGAATTAAGTGCGTCCTGTGTGATTCCACTGGGAGAACTGGAAGCTCCAGCCCAGGCCCTCTCCCAGGCGCCCTTTGCCTTTGCCGCCTTTGCTTTGTATCTTCCCACCGTGATAAACCAGCGCTGTGAGTGGGCTACACGCTCAGTCCTGATGTCTCCTAGAGAACCACTGAGCTGTACAGTGGTCTCGGGCCTCTGGCACAACACAGTTCTGTAACGTTTCTTCAATGCAGCAATACACAGTGTGTATCTTTTCTTACCGATAAATATCCGACTATATCGTTTTGCTGGTTATAAGTCCATTATTGGACTTAAGTTATTTTCAATTACAGTTGGCCCTCCATGGGGTCCATATCTATCCAACCATGGATCAAAAATACTCAGAAAAAAAATGTCATGTGTACCGAACATGTACAGACTCTTTTGGTCATTATTCCCTAAATAATATAGTATTAACAACTATTTATATAGCATTTACATTGCATTAAGTATTATAAGTAATTTAGAGATGATTTAAAGTATAGAGGATATGCATATCTGCAAACACTAACTACACCATTTTATATTCAGGACTTGTGCCTCTACAGATTTTGATATTCACAGGAAATCTTGGAACCAGTCCCCCGTGGGTACGGAGGGGTGGCTGCACATGCACACTGTTCTGTGATGAACAGTCTCAGAGCTAAATCTGTGTGACATCCTTAGTTATTTCCCTGGGATAAATGACTAGCCATAGACTTACTGGGTCTAAGGGTATTCCTAGTTTAAGGCTCATGATACAAAATTACCAAACTGTCCTCTAGAAAAGGTTGTATTAATTTATACTTCAATTAGCAGTATATAAAAAATTCAATTTTCTCAAATCTTTACCAATGCTAGGTATGATTTTTTTGCTCATTGTTCCTATTCTCTTATTTACTAGACTAACAGAGAAGTTGAAGTTGTGCTCAAAACCATTCAAAGAACTATAAACATAATTCAAAGTGGAATTGACTAGGTTTAAGGCCAATGCATGCTATCTTAGTCTTAAAATAAATACTATTTAACTTCATCAAAGTCACATACACTAGGGACACGGAGGATTTGATGTATTTACTTGTGATGGTGACTTTCGGGCATTTCACGGCACATTAGCTGCGGGCTTGCCACGGCCACAGAGGGATAAAATGGGTCAACTATGGCTATATGTTACAGCAGGATGTGCCCAGGTTGAGGGTCCTGGCTTACCTGCAGCTTACTTGCTTTCTCGGCCAGCTCCACCCTCAGCCTGTCGCCTTCTGAGACCTTGGCGTGTAGCTCCTGGACCTGCGCATCAAGCTTCTTCCTCTTGTGCTCAGACTCGGCCTTGACCTGCTGCAGCACCTTCACCTCGCACGCCAGCTCCTTGTTATCCGTCTCCAGGCCCTGCTTGTTCTTCTCCAGGTTTGCCTTGAACTAGGAGAGGGAAAGGAAAAATAATTTACTAGCTATTTTACAATACTCCATAAAAAGCACTGTTTGTTCCATCTGCAGAACTGTGCGTGACACACGGTGAACCTGCAGTTAACATCTGTTGAATGAATGAATGAAAATGTCTGTTCTCTGAGTATGAAGATTTCTATGTAAGGAACACACCTGCACACGCTGCTCCGGTAAATACAGACAGAGACTATGCCATACGGGTGTAATAAAGATCAAAGGCAATTCTTGTGGGTACTTAGCACAGTGACTGACACATGCTAACGTAAATGTTCAGTAACTGTTAATATTGTCACTGCATAAATTAAAAGGTGGCATGTGCCAGGCAGAGTAGGGAAAGATGGGGAAACCAGAGCAAGAGCAAAGGCACGAAGGAGAGGATGACTGTGGGAGGAATGAGGACCAGTCTGCACAGGCAGATGGTGTGAGTTGGAGGGTAAATGAGATTAAGTTCCAGCAGGATGGAAAACCTCCATATGAGATACGGAAGAGGGAACAATGATATGAATGGCAACAGTGTTTATGGTGGCTGAGATGAGATCAGAGGAAGGGAGGGACAAGAAGGGAGAGATGAATGTAAGGAGCACCTGAAAGGGAGTATCAACAGGATTTGTCCCTTGCTGGCAGCAGGTGAGTGAGAGAAGAATGACTCTAAAACCACTCCAGGTGTTTGGGCTAAGCCATTGGGAGAATGATGATGACACTAGTAAAGGGGACATTGGGGAGGGACATGTGATTTGAGATGACTGTGGGAGTCATGCGGTTGCACATGGCTTTCCTAAGTAAGCAGCGTGTTTTCAAATGCAGTTAGGAGCAACTGGGTCCCCAACCAGCCCACCACAGTTCATACACAGCCTGGGAACTGATCAATAGATGACTGGATGGGATGGCCAGAGAGGGTGGAAGTTGGTCTGATGGCAGACTTCCCCCACACCCTGGGCACACGGCAGTTTCCCTCACCCTTTTAGCCTGTTCCAGTTGCTCCGAGAGCTCCTCCAGGGCTGTTGCATGTCTTTGTCTCATGTCCTGGATTTGAGCCTCATGGTTCTTGGTTTCTTCCTCGAGAGCCTTCTTCAGCTCTGCCACTTCTTGCTCACGTTTTGTACTAGAGAAACATTTTTTAAGAAGGAAGTTGAAAAAAAAGCAGCCAACTGATTAAATTAAAAACATATATTTTTTTGGGGGGGGGAGTGTTATTTTTGTTTTAATATTACATCAATCCCTTTGATAAATATTTGACATACTATTTTCTAGTAGGCTAGCGTATCTATTATTGTGATATCAGAAATCCTTCTAGAACCAGCGCAATTTCCATTCCACATCCAACTTACAACTGAGACACAGCATGGTATCTCTAGTTTCACTGTAGGTCAGGCATCGGTTAACACAGGATGCCAAACAGCCTGCCACAACCTCAGCAGACTTTAATAAAACCAGAAAAAGGAACATTCCAAGGAGGCTTTGAAAAAAGAAGGGGTGGCAAAGGCCAAAACAGGACCTTGCACCATAACAAAAGCAAGATTCTTTCTTATTCATGTGAAGTAGCTGAAATGAACTAACATACTCCCAAAACTCTTATCAGGAAATGGCTTAAGGTTGGGGATAAGGTGTTACCCTTTGAAGGGACAGGAAAATATAAAGCAGGTTGAAGGGTCACTTTCCTGGTTCAGAAAGGGTCTCTGGTGTTTGATATGAGAACATAGCAGGTACAAGACCATAGGATTTCAATGTTCTGAGATAAATTGAGGTTTTATCTAACCTGCACTCAGAGTATCAAGATTACATTAGTATTAAATGTCTTTACATGGCTTTCTAATATTTTTATGATCGGCTATAACATGTAGAGGGTAACCTGAATAACCAAAATTATTTCATTACCTAGAAGAGAATTCACTCTGTGACAACTCACTCTGTAAATCTGTCAATCTGAGCACCTGTTTGAGCATACAGTTTGATGAAGACTGAAATCAGTCAGGTAAATACCACTCCTGCTAAGACCTATATTAACACAGTTTAATTAGCTGTAACCTTACAATAATCCTGACGCAATTGCTGGCAAACTTGCTCCATGCTTTAAAACATATAACCAGTGACTCGCCCGGTGATTCCCACATGGATACATTTTCCCTCTTTACCAGTGGGGTAGTGAGATCCAGAGGCACAGTGATCACTGTGCCAAGAGAGCAGGGCCCCAGGGGGTGCCAGCTCTGTGGTCGCATGCAGCCCAGCCAGAAGGATTCACTGCAGATTCTTTGTGGTCCAGCCTAGCTCGGCTACAAGTTCCACTAACTTGGCCAGAGGTCAAAGATGCACACTGGTCTGGCCTTGTCCTCTGCAAGTCTTCCATCAAGATTATTTCATTTCTAGCGGCCAGTACTTTCACTTATCAGACTTCAACACAATCTCTCCTGCGGTAAGCTCATTATCTTTTGGGTCAATAGTTTTCTTCCTACCCCTATTTGAACCCAAAATTCAAAGGAACCCTTCACCTTCTCTCCTCCAGGGTAACAACCCAGTTTCCTTTAGTCTTTCATCATAAGTCCTAAGAGAGTTAAAATGCCAATAAATCTGAAGAAGAGAATTTGATTTCCTGAGCACTGTCACTTTTATACTAATAATGCAATAGATAATTCAGAGAAGAACCAGTGGATAGGTAGAGGAGGCTTGAGTTCTCTAAAGTGCTTAGCAAGAACTTAGTACACATTTGAGAGGAAGCCAATTTAAATTTGTCACAAAACAGAATCAATGAGTGCAGTTGAACATATGCATGCTTTTAATAAATATGCACAGATCATCTGTATTCTCTTTTTTTGGCAAGAAGTGGATGGGAAAAATAAAAATGATTAGAGCCTTTTCCTCTATCTATCTATCTATCTATCTGTCTGTCTGTCTGTCTGTCTATCTATCTATCTATCCATCCATCCACCCATTTATCATGATGATTTGGAAGGAAAAAAGCAGATCTTTTAAAGAGAAAGGCCAAGACTTAAACTGCTAAAAGCAGTTACTCTGCTGAAGTAGGGTAGGAAACCTCTAACCCTGCCTGTCAGATGGGCCCCACCTAAGACACCATTTCTCTGTGGGGAACAGAGGCTGAAAAGAAAACCAACCAACCTCTGCATTGCTGTTGGAGATATACATACTCATGGCCAATATCCTGGACAAACATTAGTCTCACTACCTCTGTTTCTTCACCCTCAGTACTGCCCTGATGCCCACGACCTGACCGCAGTCCCACTGCTCTACTGAGCTGACCTGCTCTGCAGACACTGTGACATCCAGGTGCCCAGGTTTCTGGCTACTGGGTGGACTTGGATGATCATGTCCTTGTTCTCCAGGTACAGATGGGCATTCACCATAACATGTTTCCCACCTGGTTGCTCTGGGTCATTTCTACCTCCCTGACCATGCTGGTCTTCACAGGTGATTCCTTCTGTCCTTCTTGCTTTATTTCCAGCCTTAGCAACCTCCCCAGAGTGGCGGGATACTCTTCCCATCACTCACGTGCTGGAGCAGCTGGCACGGGTGTAGGGATGTGTGTGTGTGTGTGTGCATGCACACACAAGCACACGTGTGCAGCCACCAAATCTACCAGCCGGGCAGGGAGGGTTCCCTTATGGCTGGGATTCCTCGTGTGAACCGCAGCCACCTGGCGGGGTGAGTCTGGGAGAAGGAGCTGACAGCCTCTGCCAAGACAGCAAGCTGGAACACCTCCCACAGCTTCTCCGCACAACTCCAGCTGCTGCTGACAGAAAATCTACCTGCCAGTGGGAGCTGCGGGGCAGCCCCTGCGCACTCTGCCCGTCAGCTCGCTGCTGAAGCTCTCCTGTGACAGTCTGTATGTGGGCTGCCATGCTGCAGCTTTCTACCTGTGAACCTTCTGTCTGCCTCCGCCTATGCGTGTCACTTTCTTCATGCCTGCACCTGGCTGCTGGCTCCTGTCGTACTGCACATGCCGCGGCACGATGCACACCTCTGTCCGGCACCTGCACTCCCCCTTCTTCCCACCTTAGTGCACGAATCCCTCCCTTCTCGTCTGTTTGCCTACACAGCTCACGTCCCCTGGTCTGCCCGCATGTGCCTGGCCCCGCGCGTATCTCCTGTTTCTGTTTGTGTCATCTCTCCCTCTCATCCTGTCTATCGCCACCTATGACACCCTTCTGTGTGTAGCTGCCCTGTGGCTAGCCATGGCTTTTCTGATCACATCTCGCCCCATGCCTCTCAGTCTGCTGGTCCCTCCACACCCCTGCAGAGGTGTTTGCTACCTGCAGGTCGGGTCTGTTTCTAACCATTGCTATTTCATCACCCTCCCACCTGCTGTCATGAAGAATAACACGCCCCCTCGCAAACAGGGCAGGCACACCGGGCGTTTCTGCGTGACCCAGGTGGAGAGGGCGGTGGGCACCACGCGCCCTGCTCCCTGTCCCACTCACCGTAGCTCCTGCTGGGCTGCCGTGGTGTCCAGAGTGTCCTCCAGCTCTGTTTTCAGGGCTTCCAGCTCCTCACTCAAGTCCCTTTTCTGCTTTTCCGCCTTGTTCCGAGACGCCTTCTCAGATTCAAAGTCTTCCTGGAGCTCAGCGATCTGTGCCTGCAGCTCACGCACAACTTTAAGTGCATTGTTCTTATGGAGCGTCTCGTCATCACCTCTGTTAAAACACCCGGAACAAGCAGCACTCAGAGACAGCGCACAGGTGGCTTGTTTTTCAGCCCCTCAATATCTCTCCTCGAGGAGACCCCAGTCACACGTCCCTCTTCCTGGGGCGGGAGGCCGGCACGGACGCTCAGGGGCAGGCAGGAGGTCCTCAGGTAATGACTTGCTGAAGGCCCCAGAGCTGGCAGTGGCAGAGCCAGAACTAGAATCCACACCAGCCCCCTTTCCAGCTATGATTCCCCATTAAAAGGTAGGGTAATCTCACTTTCACCATTAGAATATTAAAACATTTCCTCTGAAGTAAAATATTGCCACAGTTCAAGTACTGCATGAGGAAGCAGCCCAGCCCATCATGCTGGCTCCCAGCCTGCGGGGCACCAGCAGTGTCAAAGACGCTTGGGGAACACAGAAGAGACACGTCACCTTCATACCTGCTACTTTCCTCTTTTCCACAATGCAGCTTTTTACTCACATGTCTGTTTTTAAATGTTGGTAATTTATCTAATTGGGAATAGTTGGGATGTTTGAGGTGACAGAGATTTTTGTTATAAGATTTTCTTGACATTATAAATTAAACTCCAAGTATTACAACTAGGTAGCCAGTTATTCTTTATAAAGAAATGAAACATTACATATAAATATATTTATTATGTATGATTTCCCTGTAAAACTGAATGGTTTAGAACCAAATATCAAATCATGCTATAAGTGTTGGAATATCATTTCTGAAAACTGATTTTCTCTAAAGTTCCAAAACATACTGAAGTTCATCTGTAATTTACAGAAAGCAAAACACTGATGTGGTAAAATAATTTGTTCTGGTGTGATTCTCCCAGGATTTTAGGACGAATCACCTTTAAGTATAACTATTGAGAATGTCTCATGAGACTTCCTTGCTGCCCTGACACAAATGATGTACGCCTGGGTTTTTGCCTTTCTTATGGCCCACACCCACAGCAGGTACACCCATCTCACTCTCCCTGGGGTTTTAGGTCCTCCCAGGTGTGAGAAGCCTGTTGGAACTGACTCCCTGGGGATCCGAGCAGCCCAGAGCCGGGGTGGCCGCAGACCTGGCCAGCGCGCCCTGCAGCTCCTCCTCCTTCTTGGCCAGCTGCAGCTTGAGTTCGTCGATCTGGGCCTGCAGCTCGGCCAGCTGGTCCTGCAGGTCGGTCGTCTCGCCGTCCAGTTTCCTTTTGGCCTTCTCCAGTTCCTGACGGGTCTTCTCTTCCTTCTTTAAGCGTTCTTTAAGACAATATTTGAGAAGCTCTTCAATGCACTGAGTGACACACCATATGCATAAACTCAAAATTTAAACCAATCAAAATTGAAAATAAGCCATTTTATTCAAAAGCATATCACTGCCTTGAGAACACTGTGTCAACTGCTCAGTCATTTGAAACTCACCAAGATCAAACTGAAGGAGAGGCAAATTAGCATGAGGATGGAATTTTAAGGAATAAACTGGCTTTTCTAAGGACGTCCTTTCATGGGAAGTGGAGCCTCACTGTAAGAGCGGAAGGGTTCCCTCTCATGTCAAACCCATCACTGTGCCCAAGTCTGGAAAGTGGCTCTGCAGGGGTAGGGGCAGTGCCCCAGCTGCCTGCCACCAATGGGAAGTTCCCTTTCAGTGGGAACCCTGGTTGGAACCCAAAAGACTGCCTTCCCCGAGCACCGTGGGAGAGAAGGCGGAAGAGTGGGCAGCGAGGGCTCAGCATCTTTTCCACCCTCCCCTCTAAAATTCTGCAGAGATTCCTTAATAGTGCTGGTGATCCCTCCCCTTCCATTCAAATGCCCGTGTTTTCCAGCAGGAGCTGGAATGGGATGGGACGGAGCATCCAGGCTGATCGCCCAGGTGAGAAAAAACAGGCCCGTCTGCTTCTGGGGGCTTCCTTAGCAGGCGAGCCATATACTGGTAAAAAGGGTTTATGGAAATTTCACACTTGCATTCCCTCTGTTGTCTATACTAAACAAATAAACAAACAAAACCCTACAATAGTTCTTTAAAAAAAAAAACCAACCCCATTTCCTCCCCATCCTGACAGCATGAAGAGAGTGGGGCACAGCCCCACAGGCGCCTGCCCAGCGCGTTCTGCCACCAGCCAGCCCGCCCTCTGCTGACGACACATCTCTCGCTGCTGGCCCCAGGAGAGCTGCAGGCTCCTTCCAACTTCTACCCTCTTTCCCTATTTCCTTTGCGGAAGTCCTAATGTCCCAGGATTTCCTGACATTACTTTTGCCCTTGGAGTGAGATATTGCTGCCCTCAGCAGCATCTCCTCTGTCCCTGCCAGCTTTTATGTCACCGGCCAGTCCCTTTGTGAGGTGAGACTTCAATTTTAATAAGTGAACCCAGACTGAAGGTCATCATTAGTAATCACCATGTACACTGCTTTCTAGCATTACATGTTCTGATTACAGTGAAATCTATAGTCACATGTCCCACTCCTAAACTTCTCTATCACCAAGCACTAACCTTCTAAATCCGAGATCATCACTTCTTGCTTATTCCTGATTTTGGCTAAGTTTTTTGCCTTTTCTTCCTCTTCAGCTAGCTGAGAGGAACACTCAGCAATGCGATCTTCCATGAGTTTCTTTTCCTGAATAGAAAAAGTTGACTGCTTCAAAAAAGGCATTCAAAATAACAACTCTGGTTTGCTGTTACTCATAAAAGTCAACTTTCTTTAACTAGAGAGAAAATGAGTAATATTGGCACTGCCTACCCCAACGGATTGTTTAGAGTCGCATGCCCCGTAAAGATGTTTGATCAACTACAGGCCACGTGTATGATGGTGGTCCCCTAGGATTACAATGGAGCCAAAAAATTCCTATTGCCTAGTGATGTCACTGCCATCATATTATAGTGCAGTTACATTTAAAATAAAAATAAATTTAGTGTAGCCTAAGTGCGCAGTGTTTATAAAGTCTACAGTAGTGTACAGTAATGTCCTAGGCCTTCACATTCACTCACTGATTCACCCAGAGCAACTTCCAGTCCTGCAAGCTTCATTCATGGTAAGTGCCCTATACACATATACCGTTCTTTATCTTTTATACCATAGTTTCACTGTACCTTTTCTATGTTTACACAAGTTTAGATACACAATACTTACCATAGTGTTACAAATGCCTACAGTATTCACTGAATTATGTAGCCTAGGAGCAATAGGCTTTACTACATAACCTAGGTGTGTAGTAGGCTATACCATTTAGGTTTGTGTCAATACACTCTGTGACATTCACACAAGGACAAAATCGCCTGACAATGCATTTCTCAGAATGTGTCCTTGTCGTTAAGCAATGCATGACCGTATTCCCAAAAGGCAGGAAGGCTCACTCATCCTGGTGCCTGCCATTAGAACTTGGCCCTGCTGCCTGGCATTCGGAGTCCCACAGCCAGTGTTGGATGAATTAACACTTGCACAGATGGAAACAAGCCATCAGTGAATGATCCAAGTGCACAAAATGTACAAGTTCAACGTCTAAAAGATTATAAGGCTGTCTAGTGGGTTTAAAAAATTAAATGGTGTCTGTGTCTTTAGAAATCTGTATAAATGGAGACTTAAAGAGAAAATCAAGTAAATGAACCTAAAATCTTGAGAGTTTTCTGTTTGAAGCCCCTTTCAGTGAGTGAATCAACATAAACATTTTCTGTGTTTTAAAAGCAACTTTTCATGGAAATAGTCTTACTTTGATAAATTTGGAATTTTGGTCTTCAAGAAGCAGAATCTCCTCTTCCATCTTCTTGATTTTAGCCTCCGCTGTCACCTTTTCCAGCTGCAGCTTCTGCCGAGCCCCTTCCTCCTCATCCAGCTGCTCTTCCAGGTCCTTGCGAAGAAGAATACAGTCAGCCTCCCTACTCCCTCCACGAGATTCGACCACACATCACAGTGCACAGAAATGCATTAAAATGACACTGATTTTCAACACGGCAAGGATATTTCTAAAAATATAAAATGTAGCTATGTGAATAGACATTTGTATCCACTATCAGCTAAAGTTCAAACTGGGTCAAACCTTCTGGAAGCCAACATGGCAAGTTGTAGCATGCTTTGAAAACTTCTAAACTAGCAATTTCAAGAAATTGTCACAGATGTGATTTACATAAAAAGACATATAGTGAAGGGTTATTTATAATATTGAGTAACTATGAACATGCTACCAAAAGGTCTTGATAATTAAATGTTGGTACATTTGCAAAATGGAATAACATATAGTAATTAAAATTCATATTTTAGAATAAAATTAGCAACACAAGGAAATATGAATAATACAGCAGATCTACATCAGATGCATATTTAATTTGATTGAATTAAACTATACATGTTCAGCCAGAGAAGAGAGAACGAGAACATATAAACAATTTAAATAGTCCAGGTCAGTGAGACATGAGCTGTCTCAGTTCTAGTGCACCTTTCACAACCAGAGTATGTCACTAACTAGGTGTAAGTCTAGCATTTACACTTATTTTTACTGTAACATGCAGATCTCTATTTCATATCCCACATTATTACACATTATTGAACAGGATTGTACATACAAATCTATGTATGGCCATTTTAGGAAACATTCCAAGAGTAACTTTGCCTAAATAATTTACTCATGGTTAATTTTGGAATAAAACCCTTGCAAAAGGTAAACATTTTATTTTGAAAAACTTCAAAGACACATATAAGCAGACAGAGTAGCATAAAGAGCCCCACATATAAACATCACCCCAACCTTAACAAGCATCAACTCATGGTCAATCTCATTTTATCTAAACCTCCACCTTTTCCCTTCTCCCCTGGGTTATTTTGAAGCAAATCCCAGACATCAGATTTCATCTGTAAAACCTTCAAGGCTGTATCTCTAAAAGATAAATACCATTTTAAAAATACATTTGTTTAAATCAGAATCTAAATAACTTTCAAATATTGTGACTGACTGATTTGTCTCTTAGGATTCTTTTAATCTCTAGGTTTCCCTATACTTCTTTTCCCTCCTTCCTCCTTTCTTTCTCCCTCTCTCTCACCACTTATTTGTTTAAAAAACCAGGTCATTTACTTGGTTTGTAGCTGTATGTAAAAAAAATAAAAAATAAAAAAATAAAAAAATAAAAAAACCAGGTCATTTGTCCTACAGTTTCCCACAGTATGGATTTTGTTAACTGCATCCCTGCACTGCACACTCATAAGGTGATAAAAGCAGGTAACATAATAGTATGCTCAGTATAATTTCAATTAATTAAGGAACCTAATATACGTTTAGAATAATGCAAGAACAAATGATACAGGTAATGAGAATGCCAGCTGGAAGAAACCTCTAAGTACTATTTCATGTTCTCTAGGTTTTCTATGATAATCATTAATATTAAAATCAGGAAACTAATCTTAAAAACCAAACCTACCAAAAAAGAGCTCTAGTAAGTAGTTCTGATTGAACAGGGGTCAGATTGGAAATCTCCCAAAGTCTCACAAGCAAAAGAAAAAAAAAGGCAAGGGACCAAAAGGTTAGGTTTTCCTAAGGGCAACACAGTTAATACAGAACCTTTAATACTCTACAAGAGGAAAAAAACCAAATCAATACTTAATAATTTAATAATACCATACATATTTTAAGAATGTGTTTGAATGAATTTCCATGTCACAAAAGGAGATAATGAATTATGATAGTGCAAAAAACTAGAAGTTTAAAAGAATCTGGTAAAAGAATGTGAACCTAGTATTAAAAAAGCAGTATGCCCTTATTTCTATAAGGATATATTTGTTTTCTAAATAAAGTATTACAAATATTTCATGTGAAGTTATCAAAATTTGGAGTTAAAAAAACAGGTTGGGAAGATTGGAGATGAATTTGGGTGTCCTCATCCTACATGAGTAAAATATTGAAAGGAGCACATGCTCTTAAACAAAGAAAAAGAAAACCAAAACCTTTGATAATACCATCAGGGATAATTCACTATTGTTATGAAGATTCTTCTAGATCTTCTGGATATTTCCATATAAACTCATACATATTAATTTATAAGTTATATAAATATTTAAAATTAGATCTTATTCTATACATACTTTTTTGCAACTATATTTATTAACATATTATGAATATCCATATTTTTATTTATAACTGTATACTCATTTAATAATACTATATAGTTAAATAATTAGATGGCTTCTGTTCATTTATCTTTTAAAGTCCTAGATTTAGAATTGCTGGATTAAAGAGTATACACTTTTCACAGTTTTTGTGATATTCTGCTTACCTTTTATGGGATATCTGAATCCTGTTTTGTGTTGAAAAATCAAAGAACGGTGTCTGGATGAATTATTGTATGGAATGTTTGCTAATGATGACATCTTTTGTGGTTTTGACTAAGGTCTGAATTATCTGTGCTTTGCGAAGATAAGTTGTGGAGTGAGAAAAATATGAAGGGAGAGGCATGGAAGAAAGAAAGTTTGGTGCTGGGATCCATGAGGCAACAGTGGCAGATACTGACAGCCTGATGCTCAAGAGCATATTAGATAGGGAGGTGGTGAAAGGCAGGAGAGAGGTGGTATGTCCTAGGTTTATGTACAGAAGAACTACTATCTATATCATTTGTCTGGGTATTCAACTATGTATACAGTTGTACTTATATAAGTTTAGCTTATATTTCAAAAAGAAAATAAGTACCAGGGAAGGGCTAATGTATAAAAATTCTGACCCTTGGCCATTTTCTGTGTCAGTCTAAAGCATTTCTTGTGAACCAAACCACTTAGTAGATGCCTATCTAATCAATGGAGTGAACATTATATTAATGACCATATAAAGAGCAAGTGGGGTCATCTACAGAATGCAACAGACCCGGAAAAGTTTCTGACTTTGAATCTCTTTGTAAACTATAAGATGCCACATCAGAACATAAAAAAGATTCCTATTCAAAACAACAAGTCTATATTCAAAGAAAATCTATTACATGTGTGCTTCAAATTATGGTAATCTTTCTAAAGGTACCCACAACCTGGAATCCTCTTGCTTCTCAATGGACATAAGAACCCTAACACACAGCTGCTATTTATTCAACAGATCCACTTGAATATCCAAAATATGATTCTAAATCAAAACTATTATAGATACCTGAATATGTGCTTGCATTTTTTTCTTTTCATTTTGTAGAATTTGGTTTCTTTCTTCTTCTTCTTCAACCCTAGACTCCAAGTCATGCAGAATCTCTTCTAATTCCTGCTTTTTAGCAGCAAGTCTTGCCCTCATCTCTTCTGCTTCAGCAAAGAGCTCAGTCTCTGCTTGTAGTTGTTCTGCAAGGATATTCTTCTCTTCTAAGAGCTGCAATCACAAGAAAGCGTCTAGTTCTATGATTTGCTCCCAGTGCATACACAAGATATCTTCACCATGATTTCCATGGTCAATGCATGTTACCAAAGAAACTTGGAGTTAAAAAAATATACAACATCACTAGTAAAATTTTCAAATATGTTTTTCGCTATAGCAAAATAATCTAGATGAAAGCATTTTTGGTTGTTCCTATTATTTCAAGTTATTCTGAATAATGCATATTAAATTCATGCTATTTTAAGAATTACACTTCTATGAAGATAAATTACAAAGGGACAGATAAATAGGAGACAGAAAATATTCAAATGCGATCAAGTTCATGGTCACTACTAATGTATTAGTAGTGTATTAGTAGCCTGGTATTAAGTAATATTCTTGGCCTTTATCGTTAATATTTTTGGCCTTCAGCATTACAATTCTATTATTGTCATCCACAAACATTTCCTTAGCATCTGCTTTGCCCATGAAAAAAAACTGCCTGTAAGAGAGAAGCTCCTTTAAGACCACTAGAGAAGAGGCAGGCGGTGGCCTTGTACTCAAGCATTTCGTCCTTTTGCTTTTTTCTATTTCCCCTCATAAGCAGACACAGGGAGATGATAATATGGGGAGCCTCATCTAACGCAGGTGTTATATGCATGCTCAATAGCAAGAATAACAAAAGCAGAGATGCAAGGCTAAGGTTGATTTTACTTTATATAAATCTACAATGTAAGGCATAATGCATTTGTTAACTCTATTATCAAAAGGTATGTGCTTTGGAAATGAGTGAAAACACCTCACATAAAATAAGATGATATGGGAGGTAAAGATATTGATAATTAAATGGGTGAGAGGTGCTATCCATGGAGGTCTGGCACTGACGCGTGCAGGGCAGGTGTGGATTATGACGCCAGCGCACACACCTGCTGGTGCTTCCTCTCCATCTCCTCCAGCTCTCCCTCCACCTTCGTCTGCTTCTCCTTCACCTTCAACAGCTCTTCATCTTTGGCCTGAAGTTCTTCCTCCTGGCGAGTAACTTGCAGGAGAGGCTTCACCTGTCAAGGTGATAGGGTTGAATAGTTTATTATCCTCTCTCTTTCCTATGGGTCCTTACTGATCAAACTCTGTCAAGTATTTATTTGTTTATTAGCAGACAGGGTCTCACTCTACTGCCCGGGCTGCAGTGCAGTGGTGTCATCACAGCTCACTGCAACCTCACACTCCTGGGCTCAAGTGATCCTCCCACCTCGACCTCCCAAAGTGCTAGGATTGCCTTGGCCAACTCTGCTATTTAGAAAGGGATGTAGAGAAGTAAGCCGCGCCCACCTTCGTGAAGACTCGCCACCACTGCCAGTGCCGTAGTTTCAGATACGCTGCACAATTCCGCTGCAAGACCTTTAAGGCACTTAGTTGTTGCTGCTTCTTGGCAAAGGCCCTGAAGGACAATAAGAAGAACTTACTACATAAAGAAAAAGGTTGTTTCAATAGCTGTTATCAGAAGACTTTCTAAAGGTGAACATTCTTATTTGGCCAGAATAGGGAATGGGTTTATCAATCAAGTCCTCAGGTGAAACACGAAAAGAAATGGGATTGCTGGCTCCAACCCGCGCCAGCTCAGCCCACCCCTAGCATTGGCACCGTGCGCACGCTCCTGGACATGCACAGACCTCCTGTTTTCCTGACGCCATCAAGACAATGTGGCAGGAGGCCCCTGCCTTCCCTTTGCTGGTGTTCTCTATTAGCTACTCTCCTGTTTTTCTTTTGATCTGTCACAAAATATTCTTTCCCCTCTAGGGTCATTTTTCTCTTCCTTCCTCCCACTTTGCCATAACACAGTGCAGCCCCCCAAAGCGGGACTAGGCTTGGAGATTGCTGTGTTCGTGCCCCTCATGTGCAGATGAAGGCTCAGAGAAGTCGAGAGACTTCCTCCAGGACACGGAGATACTTGGTGAAGCGCGGAACCCTAGGCTGGGCATTCCCTACTGTACCATGCTGCTTCCTCAGTCCCTCAACATGATCTAAGACCCACTTCCTATGGACCTTGACTCTCGCACTTTCACTTTCCCACTCTCCTTCAGGAATACAGCCCCCTTTGTGAAATCCCACCCCCTCTCTTGCCAAAAACGACCTCAGACCCGAATGAAGCTCATTACCTGCTGTTCCTGCTGACAGACAATTTGTCTTTTTCTACTTGTTACCAAACTTTCAGGATCCACAGGCCAATATTCCTATGATCTAACTCCCTGACTGCTAGCAGTCTGGTTTCTAGCCCCCTCACTCTACCCAAGCTGCATTTTAGATACTGATAAAGGACTCCCCAGCCTTGGAATTTAGCAGCTTTTTCTGCAGCCAAACCCATTGTGCCTTGTCTGCTGCACACTTCTGTGCAACTATCCACTACTCGAACATTCTTGTCCCCTGGATTTCAGAGCACCAGAATGACCTCAGAGTCCCCTTCGTCCCTCTCTCACAGCACTTATGTTCCTCTCCAGTTACCTACTTATACCAATGTCTGTCTTCCCAACTAGACTCTGAGCTCCTCAGCAGCAGGGACCATGGCCCAGTTATTTCTGTGGCCACAACGAACAGTCAGGTGACTGACAGATGCAAGGCCTCCTTGAAATGTTTGCTGAGTGAATGAACAAACTGGGCACCTCCTAGAAATAATGTGTGATTATTTCTCTTGAGTCCTTTCATAACTGTTTGCAGGAGTAGCCACAGGATGCTCCGGGGAAAGAGAAGCAATTGAAGGAGATAGAAAAGATAGGAAAGAAATTTAGAATTATTAATTCACTCCAGCAAATAGATGTATCAGGATGCAAGTGGGAGTGTCTTAAGAAAAGACTTGACAGTTGCCGTTTTAGAGCACAAATGACCAATTTCCAGCGGTCTGTGACTTATTACATTTCCTCACAGGAATCCCGTAACTGTCCTACTGCCATCTAATTCGTCCTTGATGGTTAGAATTTGCCCTGAGCCCACTGCTTCTAACCACTTTTATTCTTGCTCCCTACAAGCCTTCTACCTTCTAACTTATTCCTACCACCCAGAAAGGTTTGGCCAACTCTTAATTCTAAGAGTTTCTACTATAAAAAAAAATAGCTTCAAAAATGTCTTTTGAACCTCTGAAGCATCCACCTTCCAATTTTTTTATTTTTTTTTGAGACAGAGTCTCACTTTGTTGCCCAGGCTAGAGTGAGTGCTGTGGCGTCAGCCTAGCTCACAGCAACCTCAAACTCCTGGGCTCAAGCGATCCTCCTGCCTCAGCCTCCCGAGTAGCTGGACTATAGACATGTGCCACATGCCCGGTTAATTTTTCTCTATATATTAGTTGGCCAATTAATTCTTTCTATTTATAGTAGAGATGGGTCTCGTCTTGCTCAGGCTGGTTTTGAACTCCTGACCTCGAGCAATCTGCCCGCCTCTGCCTCCCAGAGAGCTAGGACTGCAGGCGTGAGCCACGCGCCTGGCCCACCTTCCAATTCTTGCAATCACCTTCGGGAATGCTATGAACATTCACCCAATCTTCTTACTAAAAACCACTGCCCTAGCTGCTTCCTTGGCCCTTGAGGAGATATTAATAAACCTGTTGGAACGAAGAGTCAGAAACACGCCGGGCACTTTGTTTAGGGGATGAGGCAGCTGGCTTTCCTACTCTGCAACAGTCGCTGACAGTTATCGGGCACCTGCTCGGGTCAGGCGCTGTCCTACGGCTTTCATGTGGCCGTGCTGTGACGTGTGTCTGAAACACAGCATCCTGTCTTCAGTACCTGGAAGTGGACTTCACAACTGTTCAAAATCACTTCCGTCCCTTCCTCTTTTTATGGTTATCACAATGTCCCCAGGATGCTTCAGCCTCAAGTTCAAGGATTTCATAAAGACATTTATCTTTTTGACTATTATAAGCACTGTTCTGCCTTTGTACACATTATAATCTGGTTCTTTTGAATAGGTTGTCTTCTTTTACTGATGTATCCTAATTTTAAGTCACATACATATATATACAGTGTGACTAACAGGGCTGCCAATGACATGGGCCTGCTGGCTTACATTTAGATACATATCTCACTGGATTAAGTGATAAAGAGATAAATAAAAAAAAAAAAAAGATTACATTGATTTGTTAGTTTAAGTCCTTAAGATGAGACAACATGAATGTAATATCTTTGTTTTTATTTTCTATTTCCAAATTTTTGCAAACAAGGTTTAGATGTCAATGAAAAAAGCCACCAATTACATTTATACACTTTATTTCTTGCACTTTTGACAGCTATAGTATGTTTCTGACAGTTGTAAAGGTTTTTTTTTTTTACCTACTCTAGAAAGGACTACTTAGAAAGGCACCTACTGGTGCCCACTCCGCAAGCTACAATAGCATTCTGCCGTCTAGTAGATATACAGTGAGGAGGGTCTTTGCTATAAACAGGTTCACTTTATTATTTAATATACTCCAAGCATAATATATAAAAACCCAAGTCTTTCGCTTCTTCTTGCCAAATGTTTCTTGATATCGATACCATCTTTTTTTTGGAGACAAAGTGTTGCCTGGCTAGAGTTCAATGGTGTCACACAGCTCACTACTATCAAACTCAAATTCCGGATCAAACAATCCTCCGCCCGCCTCGCCTCCAGAATGCTAGGATTACAGGCGTGAGCCACTGCGCCCGCGCTGCCTGGCTAATTTTTAAATTTTGTAGAGACAGGGTCTCTCACTATGTTGCTCAGGCTAGTCTTAACTCCTGACCTCAGCCTCCCAAAGTGCTAGGATTATAGGCATAAGCCACTGCACCTGGGGCGGATATCATCTATTTTTCTTGAACTTCCCATGCTGGCCTTTTAACTCAGTATTCTATCTTATAGGCAAAGAAACACAACAATTGCTTCCACTTTCTTCTGTTTAAACCCCTGTCACCAGTGCTGGGCAAGCAGCCTGCCTGGGACACAGCTGCTTTCCCACTCACTCCTGAAGGCATTATTGCAGAGTGTTAACTTCCAGGCCAGGTGCTCATATTCTGTTTGTCAAAGCTGTCTGGATGGCAGACTATTCGCCTCTCTCAATTTCTCTCACTCCCAAACCCTAAGTCTTCAATAAGAAGTAAAGAAAACACCAGTTACCTCTATAACCAGTTTTAAGTCCTTTCAATTCTATCTCAAATCCAACAACCTTTCTCTCAGTCTCATCTCCACCACCATTCTTAGCCAGCACCATCCTCTTCCATTCACATCACGACACCTCTTCCCACTGGCCCACCCAGTTCTACTCTTGTCCTGCTTCCTGGGATTCTGCACAGGGCAGCCAGGTGGGCTTGAAAACTAGATCCGCCTTCACTGTCTCCCCCTGCACTTCTTAAGCCCTGCCCAGGGCCCATTTCTTCAGGCCTCTCTCTCACCTTGCTCCTTCTCACTCACTGTGCACCAGCCACCTGGGACTACTTCACCTTTCAAATGAACCAGACTCTTGCCAGGCTTGCTGCTATAGGTCCCTCACTGGAAAGCTCTCTCCTCCATTCCCAGGGCCAGCCTTCTCACCCTTGACATTATAGCTCGGAGAAGCTGAAGCAGGACCCCCTACCCCTCTGTCCTGGCCCCTTGCGAGGTCTCCTACTGTGGCACCCCATTACTTGGTGTGTTCATGTTTTACTTGGCTCTCTCTCCCACCAGAATCATTTCCATAAGCGCAGAACACGCCTCATGCATCCCTAGCACAAAACACAACGCTCTGACAAACGCATCCTTAGCGAACGTTTAACTGGTAAACACCACTTACTTTCTGGCGAGGTAACCTCTGCAAACAGGCCTGGAAGAAGATAATGATATCCGTGATTTTTAAATCTCTTTTCTTCCTCCAAATGTGCCCAAAAACTCCAGCTCTTGAAAAATATCTTGCTCTGTCCGATTCTATACAAGTTTGGGTCCAATTCTAAAGCCCGGATCTAGGAGAGAAAAGAGTCGTTTTTCTTTTTGCTATAGGAAAGATTATATTTGTAGTCTACAAACCATAAAAATCAAGAAAAGCTTACCTTCGTTCACAGGCTGTTTGCCATCCATAAAACCTTTAGAATAGCATTTGGAGTTAGGATCTCGTATCTGTAGAAAGATTCCAAAGTCTTTGTAGAAATTTGTGAACAGGTTTACCTACTAATGGAGTTTTGCTCTAAGAGCAATAAATGATAGGCAATCACTACAGAGCAAAGAAATGAATAGGTGATCATCTGAGGTTTTCTGCAGATCTAATTTCTATCTCTTATATAAGAATCAAAGGGAAAATGAGGCTAATTCTTTCAGTCAAGACTAGGTTGGAGGTTGCGGCGGGAAGAATAAAAGCATGGTGTTTTAAAAAACCTTTATTTTTCTTCATTCCCACAAAATGTTCACATCCGTAAGCTGGCTTTTTGTATGTTAAGTCACTGGTCAATTTGCAGGCATTTAAGACAG